TCCCCGGCAGTCCAGCAGGTCCATCTTTGCCCTGTTAATGAAAAAGGAAAGAATATGTAGTATAGCCTGACAAAACGGGCATTATATTCATTCATTCATTCAACCAAATACTTCCAGAGACGACAGTGTTCAACTGTAAAGACAGAGTTCAACTGTAAAGACAGAGTTTTTTGGATAAAATCCCTCAATAGCTTCAGTGTTATACCAACAACACAACCTAAAGCAGTGAGCCTAAGTAAAAAGGATATGCTGTTTAGCTTCTGCAGCGACTGGGGGAAGAACAAACACCACTAAACCGCTCACATGATGAAGGCTTCAGTTTGGTTTGTGCAGGGGGCTGAGGAGCGGGGAGGAGGTGTGAGGAGCAACTCTAGAGGGTCTCACCGGGTTGGGGAATGTATGAATGGGCCCTCTGTGTGCCCAAACTTTAGAGCAGTCACAAAAATAATCACAACTAAAGACTTCCTGAAAAGGCTATACAATATTTACAAATGTCGCTCTTCATTTAACTGAAAAGGTTTGACAAAAATCAAAGATATTAATGTCATGGATATAAAGGGTTTACCTTGTTAACAAAGTTTTCTTTTCACTTGGCTAACCCATAATTACATTTCCTTTCATCACCTAAATTGTTAACCATATACCAACACCCTTTATAACAGCTAACTTTGTTTAACAGTAATATCCCTTGCATTTCATTTGATTGTTACTGTATTGTCCGCATTAATTGACAAGACACATGTTTGACTACAGAAATCAGGCTCACTGATATGATACTGTCTGAGTTAATATGGCCAAATAAGGAAGAAGCAAAGCCATCCCCTTTATGATTACAATCTAAGCTTTTTTTCAATTCCTTTCAACCATACATGTTGATTTAGTTGACACACTTAAACCCTGCCTACCTGTTATGCATGGTTATGATTGAATGCATGTAGGAGGGGCTTTGGGGGAGGAGTCAATGAGATAAAAAGTAACATCGAGAGACATTTCAGCCACATTTATGCACAATGAAAACACTTGGTCTCCAGTAGTAACTGGGGGGATTGTTCTTAATACTACAAGACAAAGATGTGAAGCACAACTCAGTGCAAACTGTAACTTTAGAGACTGTGGCGCAGATTTACAAATACTTTTAAAACGTTTTGATATGTAACTCGACATCCAATTTTTTCATAAAATAAGACCAAGTTAATTAATCACAAAAGAAAACCCCCACTTAAAAGAGGTGATACACATTTGTTTGATCTACTCACAGGAGTTGGTTTAATCTCAATGAAGCAGACATTATAGGGCACATTCATTTAAAGTAAACATAAGCTTTTGCAATCTAGTCAACTCACATCGGTGCCATCCTTTCCGTCCGGCCCTGGGGATCCTTGTGGCCCGGTGGCTCCTCTGGGGCCCGGTCTCTGCAAGAAAACAATTTATCAAAATCATGCATCCTCTCCATGTCAAAAATACTGTATAAATGACAGGGTTAGTGGTGGTGTGACATAACATAGAGAAGATGAGGAATTGTTGATGTACTTTCGCATCAACCATGATAATAAAATGTGTTAATATTTCTAAAAAAGTAACTAGAGATCTTCAATTCAATGCAAACCATGATAAACATAGCCAAGTGTACCTAAGCTTTACATCTCTACTTATCCACTAAAAGAAGGCTAAAGTACATTTATAATACTACTTTTTGATGATGATTCAAATAAATCAGTAATAATTGTCATCTAAACAAAAATAAACTTGTTATTTTTTGCTGAGGTCCTTCCAATTGAGCCCCTGCTCCAGGGAGCCTGAGTGAACAGAGGTGGCATTGTACGCAGGGGCACTGATCTCCAATTCGTGCATTCCACAGGTTCAGGGGAAAACAGAACCCCAACTTCACCAAACAGTGCGAAAGTTACAGCCACCTGCACACAATTAGGCTGATATGGGATAGAGAAAAATAGGCCTGCAAAACCTGAGAGACAAAATACCACTAACATCCACTCAAAGATAATTGTACAAGAGTAGCTACTAAATATCAGAGCAAGCATCAGGTTTTATGTTGGAAAGTTTCAAGCATGCAGGTCAAGGCTTGAACAGCTGTAAAAGAGAGCGACTGTCATCACCATCAACACATGAATTATCAATATATGGGCCCACAGGTGACAGTTCTGCAAGTTAATGAACATTAAACGGTACCAACATAAGCAAACATCACCAATAGGATAAAATGCAGCCAGCTAAATGAAAGGATGCAATCCTTACCTGGGCTGAGGATGATGATAAAAGCTGGCACAGTAAGAGCACCCAAAGCGCAGAGAACACCGCCATGGCTCCTCAATAAACCCGAGATTAGGCAGAAAATGTCAAATCCCCGGTAACCGTTCCTCTCTCTCCCCCCCTGTGACGGCACGGATCCTCTCTTTACCTCGCGGTGCAAAGCTCCTGAATGGCTTCCTCCTTGCGTCCAGATAAACCCGAGCCTCCAGCCGAAGGGGCTGAACTCAATGTGGAGCACTGACTGCACACAGGGGTGAGGAGGTGAGGAGGAGAGTGAGGGAGACACACAGCTCAGGAAAACAAATTTCGGGCACCTAGAAAGTGGGCTGAGCTAAAAACGTTAGAAATATGCAGGGGTCCATGCTTTGACCAATTAGAAAGTGCCAAAAACTCAGAATTAGAATTCGTTAGGGGTACTGTGTGGATTCAAGGAGTTAAAGGGCTACTCCCATAATGAAAAAGACTATTATACAGACCAGGCCAAACAAGCTCAAACTCTCAAGAAAGCAGGATCCTACATTTCCCATAATGCAATTCAACATCATGTCTTCATCAGATCCCCCTACCAGGTGACCACTGTAGATTATCTGGAGTCTAGTTTATGACATCCCAGGAAACACTGAAAAAGTACAATGTCTCACAAGTTCAGTCCAAGGGGAAGTCAGATAAACTGTCAATACCTATAGTTTACCGTCACATAAAATAAGTCATCACAATAAATTAGCTCCTTTGACAATGGAATATCGTATTGTGCTAAAAAAATTATATATTTTCTATCAATCGACAAAGTGATTACCACAGATTAGGCACATCATCCTACTTTTGAGGCACATGTGCAAATGTTTTGTCCAAAGAAAACTACATAAAAGAGGAATAGTTTATCTAACCATATATATATATATATATATATATATATATATAGACTCAAAATGCAAGAAACTTAATCTCAGTATTCTTAATCTAATAATAAAAAAAAAAATCAATATAAAGTGTTAAACATTGATTTATGGTCCTCCGTACAGGAAGTGGGTAGAGCTATAGATAGATAGGAAGGAACAGTGCATCAAACAGCAACAGTATTTATATTTTACTGTCCTTACTCACACCCTGACTCGACTGACCCAGAGAACTGAACAAACTGTTCTGCGACTAAACTTCTTCCCTCTTCTGTGCGTCATATGATGCTTGGTCTGTTTGCTGGTAAGAAAGTGATATGTATGTCTTTGCTGACTGCTGCTTCTGCATGGGAGATCAAGGAAGAGACTCAGGAATAGGAGCATAAGATTATACAGTGTTATCCTGAAAATGGCTATTTAATACATTATCATGAGAATCAGACTTTGGGTAAACACAGACACAATTCATAAAAGCTTCAAAATATAGTATAACTTTATTCTGCTTTTTAACAGCCAGGAATTTAATTGGGCAAAAAAAGTCATTATATAAAGAATTTGTTTGTAGTTAGTTATTACCATATCATTATAGAAATATCATAAGTTCAATAGCTAATAGTGAAAATGAAGTGCAGATATAAAAGATGCCTCCATATGCTCATCCTGGCTTATTCATTTTCATGGACTTCACTCATGTCAGATTAACACACAGTGGACGTTAAATTATAGCTTTATCAGTTCTGCCACAAAAAAACATTATACAATCAACCAGTCTTATCACATTTTTGGCAATGCTCTCAATTGTTCAAATAAAAAGTTAACTTCCCAAATCTGCATGAACACATACAGATGGTGCAACATTAATGAAATATAACCTTAGAAAATTCATTCTTAAATCTATTTGATCAACGGGATCCAGCAGAAACACAAACAGAATATTTTTACTCAGCCCATAAAAACAGCCCACAGAGAAAAAAAGCTTTTCCAATTAATCATTTTTTAGTGCAAAAGAAAGTTAAATTGTGAAATGATTAAGGTGTCAAAAATGCTGACACCATCATTTAATTGATATACATTAATAATAGTGCGTTGTTTTCTGTAGAGATATCAAATATCAGCCATGTACATTACTACCTTAAATTATAATCCTGGTAATATTCAATGTTTGTTATTGCCGACAAATCCCGTGAAAAAACCAAAGGATGGTTTTGAATGTGCATTTAGAGCGTCATATACAGTAGCTTACTCCTGTTACACATTATTCTATTCTTTCACACAGTGACGTCACAAGCTACCCACAATGCAACATGCGCCATATATATCTATATATAAATACGCCATTTTCATGGAGGTGCAAATATCCTGGAAGTGCAAATATAAACAGCTAGCTAACGTAGCAAGGCAGAGCGCACTAGGTTTTTTTTCTGAATTAACGACAGAAGAAATCGCTGCATGTCTTCGGATTACATCTCTGGACTTGAGGGGTGTGCTCTAGGTCGTTACCAGCGTAAACTAGAGCTGTGTGGGTTGTCGGATTGCCCTTACAGACTGCGTCGATTTTGGCTGCATCTACGTCTAATTTCTGGAAACACCAGGTGAATACCCCACTTGTCACAATAATATTATCATGCCATTGCATATATGTGGTATTTTAGAGTTGACTAGATATTGATTAAGGCAATAGACTATGATATTCAGTACAGGAAGCTCAGCAACACCTAGACGGTGTACGGCTAAACCCTTGGCCTGCTTGCACCTCGCGTAAAACGGCGGATACCGGAAGTACGGTGTCGCCCTCGGCCCAATACCCGTATGTGTGTGTGAAAGAATTGTCCAAAAACGGTTGCAATAAACACTGACACTACATTTTATTTTCAGTCAACCTCACATGCACCGTCCTGCTACTGTCAATACTCACAAAACTGAAATAGTCCTCAACAAAACACAATTTAGTCCCGTTCAGTAATTTTTTACTAAAACGCGTCACGTGTTGGTCCAATTACTTAGCTCTTTAAAAAGGATTCATGTTTCGAAGACCCAATATGCTTGGAGCTGACAGGAGGTGGAGGAGTCAAAGTATATAGAGACTGTTGGTTTGGTGGAGATTCAACAGCAGTTACGACCTGTAAGGCCACAGAGCAGCTGGGCTAGCACCAGCAAGCTAACAATGCTAACACGTTTACTGCCTCCGCTGCTTTCAAGGTTTTGACGTTTCCATGGAATTTGTTGGCAATAACAAAATAATAGAATACCACCAGCCTTCCCCTTTAATATTGTCTGATGGCCACCTGGAAACCGAGTAACATCCAGCCCACATTCAGCAACTAGTGGGTTCATATCATAGGTTCATATACTCCTTCAAAGTGAAAAGAATCAATATCTAAACATCAAATATAGTAGAAATAAGGCCTAGGAAGTTTTTTTAACGTAATACTCTGTCCCTATATTACATTTAATTTCAAGGTAAAATTAAAGAACTCCTCCTTTACCCAGTTTATTCATGTACTCCCCATATTTTGATCTGAACACACCGGGTTTGATTCCATTTCTACATCCTCCATCTCCTTTGTCCGCTCAGACACACCTTTGTCGGCGCTCGTCACTGACCCATTTGTTGCAGACACATTTGACGTTTCTTCCTCTTCCTTCTTATCTGGCACTTGATTAAAATCAGTCCTTGGGATTTTCTCCTCTATCCCAGAGGAGAGAGAGGGGGAATGTTTAGCAGTCTTAGGGGGGGCTTGGGCTGAGGTTTGACCGGTGGCTTTATTAGCACCAGCTTTCTCCTCCATCTGCTCGCTGGCAGAGTCCCCAGCAGAGCCGTTGCTTGGCAGCACCTTGTCATCTTCTCTCTTCTTCTTCTGTGTTTCTTTAGTGTCTGTATCCTCATCCGTTTGCATAATGACATCTGGTTCCTGGATGGGGTCCTTTGAGTCGTTGGTTAATGTTTCCTCGCTGTCTGCACATGGCTCTGCCTTTGCCGTCGCAGAGTCGGGACTGGACGACTGATCCATTTCATCAACATCATCCGTGGAGTCATTTCCATTCTCCACAATCTCATCATTAGGCTCGGCCTCTGTGTTTCCATTTCCGACGTTCTCTGCTTCTGGTTTTGTTTTCTCAGGGGACGCCTCTGACAGTTTGTTTTTGTCTTTACTTGGCGTTTTATCAGTGTCTTTCAGAGCCTTTGTATTATTATCCAGTCCATCCTCTTTTTGCACAACTGCTTCTCCATCTTTGCTTTTACTCCGTGAAATGGACTCATCTTTTCCATCTCCATTCCCTACACCATCAGATCGTTTCTCTGCCTTCCTGAATTGTTTCTGGATCTTTCTGGGACACCACACAAACTTATCCTTTGGCTCAAAGTGAAGGTAGGCAAAGCGCAGAAGCTCCTGACGTTTCTGCTTTTCCAGGACAGCAAACAGGAAGTAGTCAAGCACGCTGCGCTTCATACTGCTGAGGGTCTTCTTGACTAATGTCTCTTCTAGAAAGAAGCGCACCAGTGGGGCCTGGAAGTGCTCGAAGCCCAGCTCTCCGAGGCTCTTCAGGATGCGAGTGATGCGCAGGTTGTTGTGCATATTCCTGCAAGAGAGCAGAAATTCATAAAAGAAAAGTACACATTGGCAATTTTATTTATACAAGATTATTTCTTGTTCTCTTATTATTATTTTTTTCCCCTTAAACTGTGGATTTTCTCTGGAAGTTTTTCCTTGTACGATGTGAGGGTCTAAGGACAGAGGGTGTCGTTGTTCTCATACTGATATTCTGAACAATCTGTGCTGTTGTATTTGCTGTAAAGTGTCTCTACTGTAGGCTATTTTTATTATATGTACAGCACTTTGGCTCGACCAAAAATCGTTTATAAATGTGCTATATAAATAAAACTTGATTTGATATTATTTCTTGTATTTACCTTTCCAGGTTTCCGTATCGCTCCTTCCAATTATCTGCTCGTTTCATTTCACCCGTCTCTTTGTTGACCAAACGCATCCCGTAGAAGCCCAACATGAGTTCATAGGACTCGACTAGTTTATTTTTGGCCTCTTCATTCTTCTTGAAGGCCTGGTGAGCATATACAATAAATGCCAAATATAACAAACAACTTGTAGGACACATTTTTTGATTGCATGCAACATTGCAATATTGATCCAAAAGTTTAGACAAACTCATGATATTCAACATGGTGTACATTAAAAAGGATATCCAAACGGTTTGCATTTCAACCTGGATAGTTTATAGTACTGTTTTGGGGGGAAAAAAACGATAAAGTTATCTTTATGTCTATCCGTTTGTTCACATGAAGAGCTTGATGTTAAAGTACACTTTTTTTGGTGATTTAAAATGCAGCTTGAAACTAATCCAACAAAATGCATCACTGTTGATAAAGAAATAATGCACAATTAACTGTTTGGTAGAGTGTTAATTTAAAGACTTGTTGTTTCCGAGGATACACTTACCTCAATTTCCTTCTTGGTAAGTTCTGAAGCCATGTAATTAACCCCCGGCTCTCGCAGTGGAAACAGCCTGAGAGAAACGACACAAACCATTTAACACTTAATAAACTCTACTCTTATTCAGGCAAGACCATGAAAACATCAGATACAGCTCTAAAGCACTATGATTCGACAACATAAATCTAAATGATTAGACTTGGATCAGAAAGCTATCATCAACATGAGTTTAATCTTGGTACTACTGGAACATAAGGTCTACTAAATAATAGTCTTTCTTGTCAAATCTTTGACAAAAGTAATGGCCTGAACCTTGATTATTTTATTGAGAATAAATAGCTTGATTAAGATACTTAACAACGCATGAATGTATGCTAATCTACTACTAAAATAGCTTTAAACGGGTACTAAGCTACTGACTTTTAATTTTGCTATTCAGGAGGACCCTTTACTTTCCGTTTCATCATTATGGTCTTGCTTAAAATAGTGCGACAGGTTTCCAAAGGTCATCCGAATCAGATGACATTGGCTCTGTAACATCAGACTGAACGTAGCCCCCATCAAAAGGCGTGGACAATACATACCACTGAATGTACGAGTGAACTCTCTCCAGTCTTTTGTAGTCATTTTTCCATTCTTTATGAAATGATTCAATGTAGACATCTGTACAAACAAATAAAAGCACCATGTCACTGCACACAGACTTTAAAATACTGAACATATATCGTAAGAGAATTCAAATATATATTACCATCAGGTGAGGAGGGAAATTTATTGAGATAAAACTGCAAATTGTTCATTTTGTCTTCTGAGCACTCGTCATCTGTAAGATTCTGTCAAAACAGAAAAAACACACATTTTGAGATCTCCTTAAATGTGGTTCACAAGATGTTGTTTTTGCAGTGGTGTAAAGTAACTAAGTAGATTTAATCAAATACTTTACTTAAGTTGAAGGGACTTTGAGTATTTTAATTGTTTGCTACTTTTTACTCTTGCCCCACTACAGTCCAGAAGTAAATCATGTACTTTTACTCCACTACATTTTCTTAGTACCTTTAGTTACTTTACAGATTTTGTTTAATAATGTGAAATATAATCATCACTTAAATAAGACTTTAGTTGCATCTGGAGTCAATTCAAAAACTATCCTGCATAATACAAAGTAATTAAAGGTCCCATGTCATGCTTTTCCGGTTATTACCCGTCCCCTTGTGTGTTATGAAGCTTTTTATGCATGTAAACGGTCTGCAGAGTCACAAACCCTCAAAGTACACCCTGTAGCGAGTAAAACTCGAACACAGAAAAGACCGGTCTATGCTGCCCCAGAACGCCTCGTTGGAGATTTCTCTTTTTCCATTGTGTACTTCTTGGGTATAGTGACGTATTTGGTTATAGTGACGTATTTGGGTATAGTGACGTATTTGGGTATAGTGATGTAACGTAACGTCCGCGGAGCCGTTACGTTTGGACCAATCCGCGGACTTCCTCACACACACACACACACACACACTCGGCTGGACTTTGCGAGGCTCGCTGCTGCGAGGAGCGGGACAGTGTGAGCTGGCTCACTGGTGTGGGGTCGGCGAGACACCGCGGAACTCAGCCTGAGCACACACAAACTCCCAGCCAGGCTGCGGGTGTGTGTGTGTTTCGGGCTGGGTTTCGCTGTGTCTCGCAGACGGCCACTGGGTTCACAGGGAGGGGAGGGAGGGGAGGGGGGGGAGGGGGGGGGGGGGGGGGGGCAGGAGCTCCAACAAGCCGTTTAGGACAGATTGAATACACATACTATACTGAGATGCTGTATGAGAAACCAATGTGAGTTTGGAAAATTGAACAATATTTTAGTAGACCTCAACAATGGAATTATGATCAGTAGAAATGGCCATGACATGGAACCTTTCAAATTAGCTGCACCTTTAACAGCTTTTCACAACACTTTAATACATCAATAACATATCATTTATATTATTCTGAAATTGGCCAATCTGCATAATTAGTACTTTAAGTATATTTCGATGCGAATACTTTTGTACTTTTATTTGAGTAACATTGCAGGACTCTTGTATACAGTGTCATTCCCTTTGGTACTTCTGCTTTTACTTAAGTGCAAGATCTGAGTATTTCTTCCCCCTGTGTTTTTGGTTCAGATATTTTTGCTGTCACTTACTGGATATCCTCTCCTGTAGTTCTGCATGTCCTTTGCTGCTCTCATGTTCCTGGGCGCGTGATGCCACTAAAAATAAAAGCGAAAGTGAAATTGACATGCATACCGTTGCACTATGATATGCATTTGTATAATTCACATGTGATTCAACCTACGTTGCTTCATCATTACAAATAACACCACGACATGGTGGTTTCTAATGACAGTATAACATTTATAACATTATTACGTACACTACAAGTTGACATAATATGTCAACTTGTAGTGTACGTAATAATGTTAATAAGGCCAAGCTAATCCATTTCCTATTCCCGCAGAAGGGCTTAACACCTATTTAACATATAGTAACTGTGCATACAAATTACACACGATTCACACGAACAACTATTAGCAGGATAACATATTTAAACCTAACACCAGCGACTTGTAACCCCTCTGAGTAAGCTACCGTCAGAGGCTAGCTAGGCTAGTTAGCATCCTGCAGCAGAGGCTATCATTAGCTTTCCAGCCGTGGTAATACTGGCAAACGGCTGGCCAGGTGCAGGCAATGAGTTACAAGTAAACATACTACACTGTAACATAGGATGGAGGTACACTTTGGTTTTTGCTGAATAATATTTAAATCACGTACTAAATTCCAGGCGGATTTGTTTTTGTCTTGGCAGGACCGTCGGGTCTGGCTCTCTCCGGCCGGGTCGTCTCCATCACTCTCCGAGTCCCAGGTCGAGTCGTACTCGCAAACACAGTCGTCCTCCATGACTACAAAATTATCCTTCTGTGACTAGCTAAGGCTATGTATACGTGTAGCCTGATTAAGCACTATATAAATACGGGGCATGCATGAAGTCACACTCGCATTTTCAGGTTAGTCGAGGACGGTCAGCCCTAACCATCCGTCTCTCAGGTCGTCAGACAGCGGCGCCGACGGCGGCTGCAGTACTGATGCTGCCTTCAGGGGCCTCCCTATCTGAATAGGAATTATCGGTGCTCTCATAGCTTGACACACACAAAATCATAATTTGGAATTTGATTTATTTAGCCAAATATTTTATCCACAAAGTTCGCCTCCTCAAAATATCCCCAGTATTTACTGGATTTCTTAATGTTTTGGCACACAAAGAAATCAAAGAAATGTTGCAAAAGTAAAAAAGCCCAACCATTTGACCAATTTCTACACACCTTCATTCCTGGTTGACCAATTGTGTTTAGTTTTTCATTTTAATTCTGTTTTTTGTTCATAATGCCCTCAGTTTGAATTCATTTAATAGACACTGATGTCACATGTAATGAAAACAATGATATGAATAATAATTCCACTTCATTGTGATGTCATTTGTCATTTAATGCAGTTGTGAATGTGCTGTCTAATAAATTGTTCAATTTCCGACGGACTCTGAAGGCAGCACACAGTAATAAAAACAGCAACCGTCTGATATGAGTCAGACAGACTCTCTTTGAGGCTATTTAGCAAAACTATTCCACTTGACTGTTATATCACAAACAGTAATGATATACTAGAAGCATTGCTAACTCTTCAACTGACAAACAATGATAGCACTATATCATTTCCCTGGGGATAAATAGTATCCAATCCATCTATCCATCAGTCAAGATGTGTACATGAAGTCATACTTTTTGCATAGGGATAGCCGTTGCAAAATATTTTGATTCAGATCAGCAGTTCAGTTAAAAAGATCAATAAAAAGCCCTCCTCACAATACTTGGTGACCTGTCATCAACCTGATATATGTATTGAATATGTATTATATGACATATTTTCGACAGCTTAATTAATCCGTTTCCGTGTGAATAATAAGATGATTTATCCTTTTTTAATTATTGGACTTTGTTTCAAGAGTGGTAGTGTCTTTGAAAGTTAGAAAGAATGCATACAGAATTGCCTAAGTATGAATATTGACAGAATAGAACAAATTAATAGAAATCTATTCATGCACATTTCAAATGTACCTACATTTTAATATAGACAATAATATAAACATATATGTATACATATAAAAGGACTGATGTAGATTAAGCAGGTCAGTTTTACATCTTCATTTTTTGTCAGAAACAAACAAACAGTCCAGCAAGAATTCAGCCTCCTTTTATTTACGCCAGAAAGACTTTTAGTTTTGTAGCTGTCTATTTGGGAATTTTGGGAAGAAGTGTTGGTATCTGACACACTAATCCTTCCTGAGTGTCTGTGTAATTTCTTTAGTATTCATGTGTCATCATTTGTATGCACCAGCAGCACAAAGGGGTGTGAGGATCATCATCATTCGACCATGATTCCATCCTCTGACAGTAATTGGACAGTAGCATTTATACAAGGCAGTATCTCGCCATCAAAAGGTATAAATAGACTCGTGTATTATCACAGGGGGATTCAATTTCGAATGGCCGCTGGTGTGGGTTTCTATTTCTGGTGTTAGTTACTGTGGAAACCAGCGGGCTCTGCAGGCATCCAGTATTTGCTGTAGCTATTTAGTGTCTGCTTTATAAAATGAATTCCCTGTTCTCTTGTTCTCAGAGACTTTCATGCAGATGGAACGATTTGTAAATATGTAAAGAGATTTTAAAATGATGTAATCCCAGTCTGACTGCATTTGTATGAGATTGAAATAATGTAGTGACTTTTCCTCTCTACATCCCCCCTTGTAACTGCGTGGAGTCGAGGGTCATGTGGGGGAAATGGGTTACAGCAGCTATTTGTCAAATACAGTACCTGTTTGTGTTTAAAGTCCTTCCCAAGTTCTTAGAACCTACTAGCTGGTTTCAAACTGATTTATTAAACTGAGGCTCGTAATCTTTTCCTATAGGAAACATCTGTACCGCTACCAAATCGATAGCAACCGAACACAAAGGCACTGAAGCATAACAAGCTGTAACACAGTTTAATTACCCATAATAACCATTTTAGTCAGACAACTCACGTGTTTCTTTAACATGTTTATTAGAAGCAGCATATAGTTGAGTTTGGCGTCTAGGCTCGGGCCTCATCACTCCATAGATATACATAGCACGATGAGTCATGATTAAATAACTAACCCCCGAGTCTACAGGTGGAAGCTGGGGTGGTGGTGGTGGTGGAGCAGGCAAGCAGCAGCGACGTAGAGGTAGCTGCAGCAATAGCAGCATCAAGCAATGCATAGAGAGAGATCTGGCAGGTTAAATAGAGCGGCATATTAAGGAGACTCTGTTTGGTTGGTTGTAGAGTGGCAAGGGGGCGTTATGTATGAATGCAGCATAAGTGCTCGAGTTGACTGCCTGAACTAGCTCGCAGGCTTCGCCCCATTTTAGGTAGCCAAACCGTATAATAAAATGAATCGCCATTTCTATGTGAATGTAAGATATACTTTGTTTAATTTGTATTTGCACAGAATAGAGAAATGTTTTAGTAGTTGTACATACATTAGTGGAAAGTAGATGCTAACCTAGAAAGTAACAACGTCAGTTGACTCAAACACTGCTCAGTTCAAGTGAAGATATCAACATTTGTTTTTTCTCTTATGCTTGATGAGACACTCAACCTTTATATCAAGTTTGCATGTTTACTATTTGAAGACAGCTTTCCAGAAGCTTTAAGTACTATTTTAAAGGTAGCCTTTAATTACTTTTAATTTTAAACTTTTGTAAACTCATCTAGAGACTCTGCACCGTGCTCTGACGCTGTTGCTTTATGCTTTATGAATGGGGACAACAGAGAAACATATTCCTCATGACCAAAGTTGGAATTGAAATAAAAAAGGAAAGTGAAACTGCTCCTCACCCTCTCCCTCCGGTCCACATTAATACAAATGATCCCAATACGTATGATTGTATGAACTATGAAAAGATCTTAAAATCAATACAAATGTATTTATTATAAACGTAAGTCCTTAACATCTATCACTGTGTATATCACCATTCAAACATCTTTTAAAAGTTGAACAAACCCCACACAGCTCAGTAAAGACTGTGAGATGTTGACTTTATTTGATCATTTCAGTAAAAACTAACGTTCATATTTCTCTTTTTGATTATAATACTGATGAACGTTCAGAACAAAGCACTTTGGCAACTTACCACATACGTTTTAAAATGCTTAATAAGCATCGTAACTTTCATGATATAATTTCTCGGTCATAATCGGTTGTTTCCGTGCACGGCCGACTGTTGAGTGACGGCAAATGCTGCGGCTGCAATGCATTGTGGGGCAGTATTTTCTCCTCTCCTTTCGGTTAGGGAGGTCCAGTGGTTCCTAAGCTAAAGGAGGTTATAAAGGAAGTTTGAAACCTCCTTTCCTTTCATTTGGAGAATTGGAACGGCACTTATCATGGCTGCCAGTGAGGGACTTCCGGGTCATTTCACTCCGTTAGGAAGGTTCCTAAGCTAAATGGACTATTGGAACGCAACCTAGTTTTAAGAGCATAAATAAATAATAAATATAAATAAATTATCATTACACCTGGGTAAAACAGAGTCCATTCTCTTCGGTTCGAAACATAATCTCAGCAAATCCGACGACTTCTCAGTTGCAGTGGGCGACATTATTGTCACAAGTAAGAAGGAAATTACATACCTAGGATCTATTCTTGAGGCAAACCTCTCCTGTGACAAAATGGCATCCAATGTAATAAAAAAAGTCAATCAAAGAACTAGATTCCTATACCGGATCTCCTCTCTGGTAAACAAAAACACCCTGAAAACTCTGGCAGGAGCACTCATTCAAGGGTACTATGACTATGCTTGCACGTCATTGTACCATAGCACCTCCAAGGCGCTAAAAATAAAACTTCAAACATCGCAAAATAAACTGGTCAGACTACTGCTTGACCTTTCATCTAGAACCCACCTCACCTCTGCCCACTTTGACAACCTAGGATGGCTTAGAGTAGACGACAGAGTACAGCTACTTGCAATGGGACTGGTCTACAAGATCCACTACACCTCTATGGTACCCATGTACATGTCAAAATTCTTCCCAAAGGTCAAGGAATACCATGATCATAACACCAGAGGGAGCTCCACAAATCATGTGAAACCCAGATTTGGCACAAAAAAGGGGGAATACACGTTTCGCAATTATGCCACATCAAGGTGGAACGCTCTTCCCACAACTGTAAAGGAAAGTAAAACTATACTTACCTTCAAAACCTCTCTTAAAGAGCACCTTCGGGGGAGAGCATTGCAAAACTGGCCCCGGTAATGGTACAAATCTCAACCTGTCGTTCAATGGACAGCTTCCCCCCCCCCCCATCTATGTATATACTCGCATTTTAGACTCTGTTACTAACTGTATATCTGTAGACTTGGTATGTCTTAAATGTCCGGTTAGGATGTATTAGAACGAAATCTAAAATGAAAATTGTAAATAAGCAATCTGTATGTAAAAAACCACCTGTATGTAAATTGTAAATAAGCCATCTGTATGTCAAATATGTCTTATATGTCTTAAATGACATGATGAATTGGAAATGGGGGACCCTGATGTAAACAAGATGAAAGTCTTTCTCTGGTCTGCATCCCCTTAACAATTGTATGTTTTGAGCTGTACTGTACTGTACCCAATATACAAGCTGTTAATAAACTTTTCAATCAATCAATCAATCAAGCAATGGGACGTCCTTTCCTCCGGAGCGTCATGTGAAGCGACATCCGTTTGTGATGACGCTGCACAGCTGATAGTCTGACAGCAGCCAGCTCTGTCCCCGTTATTTCCACACACACGCCTCTGTTAGTACACATTTACTGACACAAATATTTGTATCATCTGTTGTAGACCCAAATAAATAAAATCAAATAAGAACTCATTCTAAAAGACCTCATGAAAGACGATACAAGAGGATACCCGGCCCGGAGGAAGCCCGGGGTCCCCTTCTGGAGCCAGGCCCAGAAGGAGGACTCGTCGGCGAGCGTCTGGTGGCTGGGCTTGCCATGGAGCCCGGCCGGGCCCAGCCCGAAAAGG